GCCGTTCGGTGTTTCTTTCTCCTTTTTAAAAATGTGTTATTGATTTCAGAGAGGGAGAGAGAGGGAAAGGGAGAGAGAAACATCAATGGTGAGAGAGAGTCATCGATCGGCTGCATCCTGCACGCCCCCCACTGGGGAGGGAGCCTGCAACTGGGGCCTGTGCCCTGACCCGGACTCGAACCCTGACCTGGTTCCTCGGTTGCTGCTCGACCACTGAGCCACGCCGGCCGGGCTGGGCAGTTTTTCTGGCTGGAGGGGCTTGGTCTGGAGTCGGATGCTGCCTGGAACCGGCCCCTTCAACGCTGGTGCCAGTGGCCACCCGGTTGGAAAATCCACCCTGGACTTGTCCTGTGGGCCTAGAGAGAGAGAGGAGGCTTGTACATGTGTGCACGTGTGTGCACCCCTGTGCACGTGTGTGCATGTCTGTACACCTGAGCACACGCGTGTACACCTGTGTGCGTGTCCTGGTTCCCCACGGGCGGTCAGGATGATCTGACCGGCCCCCCTGAGCGCGTGCCCCCCGCCCGCAGGACCCGACAGCCCGGTGTCCCCGCTGAAGGAGCTGAAGGAGGTGAAGGAGCTGACGCACGCCGTGCGCAGGCAGCAGCGGGCCCTGGAGCAGCGCCTGGAGGCCTGCCTGGAGGAGCTGAGGAGGCTCTGCTTGCGGGAGGCGGTGAGAGCCCCCCTCCCACGCCCCCTCTTGGGGCTCCGCCCTGGAGCCACACTTTGGGAGATGGGGGCAGAGGGAAGGGGGAGGGTTGGCACTCAGATGGGGGAGGGGGGGCATGGTGCCTGGCGTCCGGGGTGCAGGCACTCACGGTCGGGGAGGTGGAGGGGCTTTGGAATGGGAGGACATATGGTGTTTTTTTCTTAATATCACAAATTTCATTCTTTATAGTCTAAAGTGTGTGGCTTCCCCAAACTCAGTTTTCATTTTAAAAAAATGTAACAACAGATGTTTACCTAGAATTTGCCATATGGCCAAATGTGATTCATTTGCACAAATTTTTCACATTCACAATAGA